GCCTGCACTGTATCCCCTTCGCCTCCTTTTTTTTCCACGCTCAGCAAATGATCAAGGGGTTAAACGGAGCGAGCGCTCCCTTCCTAGAGAGGATCGAGATGTGAAATGGGGAAGGGGAATGGACATGATTTAACGAGGCCGTGGGAGGGGGAAAAAGTTACCCTCCTTCCTGTCCCCTGGCCCCACCTTCCCTCCTCTCGTAGTCCTGGGATTTCTGGTTTTTTTTGCACGATCTAGCTGGAAAAAAAATAAATCCGGGGTTTCCCGCGAAGTTGCAATGCAAAAATTGCAAGGAGCGGGTGAGTTGCGTGCGTGTGTGTGTGTAAATTAACCTGCATTCGGGGGAAGGGGGTTAAAAGAAAAATATGCATAGGATCGGGCGAGGGGGTGTAAAAGACTGAGCCCCTTTCCCGATCCAGGGATCTCTCTATGCGTGCAGCTTGTTCTAGCCGAGGCCTTTTGCTCCCCACTCGCCCGCAGACATACTTAGATTGGGGGGTGGAGGGATGTGTGTGTGGGGGGAAAGGCCATTGAAGTCGCCCCAGAGAGCAAGGCTGGGCGGTGGGAAACAAAAGGACCTTTACTCGATTTGACCAGACGCCTTCCAAGCGCAGGAGGCGGCCCAAGAGATTTGGCAGCCTGAGGCTGAGCATTAGAGGGGCGCCCCCCTTCCCGCCAGTCATCAAGAGTCCAAATGGCTTCTTCTTCCCTTGCCTCTGAAGCAAACAATCTCACGACGACGAGGAGGAGGAGGATCTGTTCCCCCACCTCTGGCAAAGAACTATTCAACTTTGCTGGCCTTTTCCGACATCTCAGCTTTGCTGCCTGAGGCGGCCAGCGGGCTCTGCCTGAATGGGAAGGCGCCTGGTTGCCTGAAAGGAGCCCAGGAACCAGACTCTCTCTCTCTCATATTGGCATTTACAGATATACTGCTTCAGAGTATGGAGGTTTTATTAAGCCTCCTTGACTAGTAGTGATCATTGACTGCTGTGTGGTCCCTTAATTTTGGCTAAGCCTTTTGCTTTTATGTTTGGCTGGCCCCACCTGTTGTGGTCACAAATGGCATTAGTCTACTTTGCAGGAAAAAACAGACAAGTTGTTTGTTGTTGTTGTTCACTATGGAAGATAAACAGGCTTATGATCATAGCTATCACAACTGGTCTTTTGAGGAAAAAAAACCCCAAGGCTGTTATTTTTGGACCAGCAGGTTTTACCTGACTATTTTTGTGCAATTTGCCAGGAACACAGTGTGCCAGGTTGTATGTAGTGTAGAGGTTGGCAACCTGCGGCCCTCCAGATATTGCTGGATTTTTAATCCCCATCCTCCCTCAGCACTGAGGATGCTGGATAAGGCTGATGGGAGTGAATACCGTTAAAATCAACCAAGAATACTATACAATTAAAGCAACCCATCCCTCCACCAGCAGGTGAAAACATACCTCTTTAGAAAAGCTTTTAGGAGGCGGTTGAGAAAGGGAGGTCTTTTTAAATGGATAACTTTTAAAATAATGTACTGTTTTCAACCAATTATAATTTTTAATCTAAATGGATTTGTTTTAGTCTGTTGTTGATTTAATTTTTTTTTTGTATGCAGGCAGGATAAAAATCAAATAAATGCATATGACCAGTCTAAAAAGATGCATTTTTACTCTTAAAAAAAAAATTAGTCGGAATGGGAACAGATCCACAACTGTGAAGGAAGTTCATTCCACAGTTTGGGAGCCACGTCTGCCTCTTCCACATGTTTTAAGACAGGATGTGGACTCAGACACTGTGAACTCAGTGGGGCCGAGGATCATCTCATCCCCAAATTTCAGTGCCATATGCTCTGATTTTTTTTTTTTTGATGTAAGGCAATAAAATGAATACTTCTCTCTTTTAAGACCTGGGTGCTTTTAATTTATTGAATACTGAAACTGGCTTGCTTTTTATAAGCTGTAGTTTAAACTACTGCTGATAATTGCCTATATATTTGTCTATCCACTAACTGAGCGTCTTTAGATGTTTTTCTTTTTTGCTGTTTTAATTTATTTTCTGTATGCTTCCATCGTCTTCATTTTGTATTTTTATAAAATCTCTTCAGCAGGATTCGCCTTAATAAACAGTATAAAAATTCTTTGTACCCCCCCAAGCCAAAGATGTCAGAAAAGCTGACACATTAACATTATTTTTAAAAAAAAGGGGGGGGGTTCATTACCAGTGTGTAACAAGCAATGTTACTTATTAGCAACGCATTACAGGTAGGTTTTGAAAATCACATTTAAAGTGCCCGGAAATTTTCAAAAATGACCCTTAAAAATAATAAGTAAAATTAGCCACAGTTTTTGACGTTAAAATGCTGAAAAGGAACAGCGTTGTTCCCAATTAGTACAGTACTTTAAAAATAAAGTACTATATTGAGTATTGTGGAACAAAACCTTTAAACTCTGGACCCCTACTGTTAGGCAAGCATTGCATTGCCTTCTGTGTAATAATTTTTGGTTCTGTTTTGTTCTGTTTGGGTGTAACTTGTTTTTATAGTATTGTGATTTAAATGTACCTTTCATACCATTTCTAGCATTTTTGAAAGCCATCACAATGTTGTTGTGTACCCACAAGCCGCCTCCAACTTATGGCCACCCTGCGAATGGGCCATCTGCAAAATATGCTGTCCTCAGCTCTTTTAGACTTATGTCTGTGGTTTCCTTTAGGGAGTCAGTCCATCTTGTATTTGGTCTTCCTCTTTCCCTGCTGCCTTCGGCCTTTCCCAGCATTATTGTCTTTTCCAGAGAATGCTGCCTTCTAATGTTGTGCCAAAAGTAGGACCTCCTCAGCTTCAGTATTTCTGTCTCCAAAGATAGTTCAGGCTTCATTTGATCTAGGACCGCCTTGTTTGTCTTTCTGGCAGTTTTTTGAGGTACCCAAAATCCTCTGCTGTAGTTCAAGGGTGGTCACCAGAAATCTGTGGCAAAGGAATCCCAGGAATCCATTGGATGGAGCCATGACAGTTAATTTTGAATCAAACTGCTATAACTCTACAGTGCAAATACACTTTTTGTTGTTGCTGCTGCAGACCAGTGTAGCGTCCCTTCTGGAAGTTCTTCAGACTATGTCTGCTTCTTTCCTTCCTCCTTAGGTTTTCCTGTTCCTAAACCTGACATGATGTCCCGGGTTGACCGTGGGAAAGATCTGTGGATCCCAGATCTTCCAGCAGACAAGGAAAAAGATTTCCCTTTGGACAGCGCATCGGGTGAGAGATCCAGTGAAGAACTGATTCATACACAGAAACACAAATACACACACATCAATCGGGGAAGCTGTGTGGTTGTCCTGTTATGTACCCGTCTCTGCCCTCTAATTCCACAGCAAGGAAAAGATTTACCCGTATTTTTCGCTCCCTAAGACGCACCTTTCCATAAGACACACCAATTTTTTAGGAGAAGAAAACAGGAAAATATAATCTGTTTTCTTCGCTCCATAAGACGCACAGACTTTCCACCCCCCTGTTTTGTGGGAAAAAAGTGTGTCTTATGGTGCGAAAAATACAGTATTTGCTTACCTGTTCCCTTGTCTGTGAGGTATTTTATTTGGTGGTATTTTATTTTATTGCATATATTTTTAAAATTTTTCCTCACAACAGACCTGTGAGGTAGGTTAGCCTTATTTATTTATTTATTAGATTTCTATCCCAGCCATCTAGACCAAAGATCAACTCTTAAGAGTTGTGACTGACCCAGGCTTCATCAGGAAGCTTTATGGCTGAGGCGGAAATTTGAACCCGGGTTTTCCAGTCTTCGCCTGACACTTTAGTTATTACTCCTGTCAACTACCTTGACTTTTTCAAAAGGTATTTTCCCTCTCTGATCAGAGTTTCCCGATGTGATCATAAAAGTGGAAGAAGAAGAGGAAGAATCATGGTTGCCTCTGAAGGGAGAAAGTGAGAAGTTGTTGTTGAACTCGCCTCCCCAGGGAAAGGAGACTTCACTAGGTGCTGCCTCAGGTGAGGAGTGGGTTCGAATTTGTCTCTCTGCTTATTTAAACACTCTTGTCTGACTCTCTTATGAAGCATCTAAATAATTAAGCTCTTTTTATATGAGAAAAAAA